CTGCACTTCAGCCTGGGCAACAGAGCAAGACCCTGTCTCTAAAAAATAAAAATAAAATAACAACAATAACCTGAAGTCTCAGGCGCTAAGCCCTGCTCAGAGCACTTTGACATGGCAGACTCCAGGGTTCAACAACTTACTAGGTAAGTGACTACAGGCAAGTCGGTTTTCTCATCCGTAGAATGGACATAATGTTAGTCCGTCCCTCACAGGGACACTAGGAGGAGTAAAGATATTAACACATGTGGCAGGCTCACCCTGGGGCCAGTGCATGGTAGCATCTATTAAAGAAAAAATTATTCAGACACTTTAGCTAAAGACAGGAAGACCTAAGTCAAGAGGGGCCACTGAGACGGGGGTTTCGCAGTAGGGGAGAGAGATCAGACTCAACTCTGGACACAAGGACAAGTGGGGCGTTATAGCCAAGGAGCAGGTGGGCATCCGTGGATGGAAAATTACTAGGAGGACAGGCGAGGGGTAAGGGGGATTATGGCTAAACCAATTTGACAGGGTTTTTGCTGAAGGCAGGCTAAGGTGTGATAACATAATCGAGGGTGAGGGAGGAGGAATCTGGTCACATACCAAGGGTGTGGAATTTTCAGTGAACTGATCAGCAGGTCCTTGCTAAATCTGGACTAAGTGGGCCAAGGACGGAGCCCAAGGTTGGGGCCTGGTCAGACAGAGGGCTCAGAGGAGCCCGATTCAAAGTGGATCAAAAGAGAGAGGCTTTGCCACATTTCAGTGCACACTGGCTATTACGATAAGTCACAATCAATTGCTTAATTATAATAATTAATTTTAATACAGTCATCCCTCAGTAGCCACAGGGTATTGGTTCCAGGACCTCCCAGGGATACCGAAATCCGTGGATGCTCAAGTCTTCAATATCTGCAGTCCCCCATGAACTGGTACGGTTCGTGGCCTGTTAGGAACTAGGCTGCACAGCAGGAGGTGAGCGGCAGGTGAGCCAGCAAAGCTTCATCTGTGTTTACAGCTGCTCCCCATCGCTCGCATCACCGCCCGAGCTCCGCCTGCTGTCAGATCAGCAGCAGCATCAGGTTCTCATAGGAGCAAACCCTACTGCAAACTGTGCATGGGAGGGATGTAGGTTGTGGCTCCTTGTGAGAATCTAATGCCTGATGATCTGAGTGGAGCTGAGGCGGTGATGCTAGCGCTGGGGAGTGGCTGCGAATACAGATTATCCTTAGCAGAGAGGTCTGACTGCACGATAAATGTAATGCGCTTGAATCGTCCCAAAACCATCCCCACCCTCGGTCCGTGGAAAAATTATTTTCCATGAAACCAGTCCCTGGTGCCAAAAAGGTCGGGGACCGCTGCTTTACATGAGGTGGTACAGCATTTGCATATAACCTACGCCCATCCTCTCCTGTACTTCAAATCATCTCTAGATTACTTAAAATACCTAACACGATGTAAATGCTATGTAAATAGTTGTTATTCTGTATTGCTTTAAAATTTGTGTTATTTTTATTGCTGAATTGTTCTTTTTTGGCCAAACATTTTCATCGGCGGTGGTTGAATCCATGGCCGTGGAACTCTCGGATACGGAGGGCCGACTGACCGTCACCGTTTGAGTCGGGGCTGCCCCAACTCCGCTTTCTCCTCTACGCCAGGAGGCACCGACCTTGGGCTGAGCCGGTCCAGCAGGCGTCAGAAACCAGCCTCTCCCCGGATGGGCGCAGTTGCTGGTCTGTGCCCACCCCTGCATGCCAACTCCTACCCAGACGCACTGCCCCGCCCACGAGAGCGAACCAGAGCCCCTCGCCACCCTTACCCGTTTCTCAAGGGGCTCCCTAACGACCAGCCTCCCAGCTCTTCCTGGCCAGGCAGGGCTCTTTCCACGGCAGCCTTAAACTTGATCTCCTCCTATCCTGTCTCTCTCCTGTTTTCCTCCTCCCAGGCGTGAATACAAAATCCTTTCTCGCCACCACTTGCTACTTTGGTCTTATTACATCATCTGGCTGCTACATACTTCTCGGCTACATTTTCTGAGAACTTACAAAGTCTTCTTCCTCCCAACTGGTCACTCCCGCAGTGTGACCCTGTGAAAAAAGTACCAGGCTTTGAAGCAAACCGGAGGGGGGTTTAATCCCAGCTACATAATTGACCAGCTGTGTGCCCTTGGGCAAGTTAATTAACCTCCCTGATCCCTGGATTGTTTATCTGACTGGAATTATGGAGACAATCTTATTTGCCTTAGTGGTGGGGTTCCACTGGGAGGAAACCTGGGGTTTTTGGAAGGGTATAAACTTTGATAAGCCCTTGGAGGTAGAGGAAAGAGCCCCCCACCTCCTGCCCCAAAAGGAGCCTGCCCGCAGAACTGGAGGTGGCTGCCTTGGGCCAGCAACCAGCTTTTGCTGTGTGGCTGGAGCAAGCGGGCAGAGAGGAAGGGCTGGATGCCTGGGGTGGTGGAGGGGACTCTCTGATGCTTGGTGGAAGGAAAGAAAAGGAGGGGAGATGAAGCCACTGACGAAGGACAGAAGCCCCATGGCATGCACGCCCAGTCTGTCCAAAACAGATCATCTCCTCTCCGGCTCTTTTCCCGCCTTCCCCATCTGGTGAGGCCACAGTTCATCCCGTCCCACGCCAAAGGACAGCCAAGGCGTCACCCTGATCTGGGGCTCTCTGGCCATCTGGACGCTTGTTTCCAGCTGCATAAAGTAAAATACATAGGATTGCAGAGGAAACTGATGACACTGAAATACAATTAGTGAACTATTCAAACACACTGTTGTCTAGGAATGTATGTGCTGTTTCGTTAATATATTAAACGACATTCAGTAGAAGCTCTAATAAGCGTACCGTTGGAAGAGTGCATTTCGAGATCCCTACAAAAATGTTCGTGTGAGATGAAAAGGATGGGTTACTATCACCGAGTATGTCACAGGTCTTGCCCCCACTACTGCGATTTGTTGAAGGAAATGCTAAATGACAGTTTTGAGTCAGAGAAATAAAGATGTTATTGTCCCCCATCCAGGCTCACGGACCTCCTGAATTCTGTGGACTCGGAGCTAGGAACCTTTGACCTCAACTCTCTGTTTTTCCTTAAACACCCAGTTCCCCCAACACCCCTAACCAGCCCCAAAGCCCTGCTGTCTTTACTTCCTGCATGGTGGGGGTGTCCCTATCCCCACCGATACTCTCCTGGGGCCTCGTCATTTCCGGCAGCCCCTCTGGCTGGCCTCCCCACCAGCACTCTTGCTCCATGCCATCTGTGCCCCACCCCGAACGCAGAGAGATCATCCCAACATGCAAACCTGACCATGTCACCCCCGTGCTCCGAATTCCTCAGTGGCTCCCTATTGCCTACATGGTAAAATCTAAAGACCTCTGTGAAGCACCAAGACCCAAGCTCTCCAGCCTCGTCTCTCCACACTCCCACTCTCCCCACTCTCCCCACTCTCTGCCTTCCCACCCTTCTGAGGCACATGACGTTCCCAGAATACACCACCTCCCCGGGCCTTTGCCCGTGCTGTGCCCTCCAGCTGGAATGGCCTCCCCAAGTTGTCCACCATGCAAACTCTCACTCGTTTTCCAAGTCTCAGCTCAAATGTGGCTTTCCCCACACTCCCCAGGGGGCAAATGTGGGTGCCTCCCTGCAGGGCTCGCCCCACGCCTGGGGCGCAGAGGTCAACATGCCTCTCCACAAGGTCACAGACTTCATGAGGGTGAGGACTAGAGCCTTTGTCCCTTGACTCTCCCAAGCCTAGTACAGCGCCTGGTTCTCAGTAGGCCTTCAGTGAATGTCGGTTGAGTAAACAAATAAAAGATGGAAAAAAAAAAAAAAAGAATAAACAGGCTGTCAGTCCTGAATGCCAGGGATGGGGCAAGTGGGGGCCAAATTTGATACTGTATGTGTCATGACAGTTCTACTTTTCTTCTCTTCTTTACAATGATGGTGAGATTTCCCACATTCTGAGGATGACAAGTCAGCGTGTTTTGATCTGTGGCGTGTGCTATAATTTCTTGCACACCCTCTATTCTCTGAGGGTCCCTCTGTTATACGTACATACCGCATTTAGGGAGCGATTATTTCCCTTACCCAAAGGCTCGTCGTTTCGGTTTCATTAAATAGAGAGTTCTTCCAATGCGTGAAGAATAGGATTAGATTTGTAGAAATTCAGTTTACATTTGGCTTTTTAGGAACCAATGTCTTACACGGCCAAGCCACCGCTCTCTGTGTCAGGCTTCCTGAAGTTCTAGTTTATGAGCTTCCTTTATTCCCTCTGGCATATTCCCCACTTAACCCCTTATGACCTGGGTCTCTTGAAATGACTCTGGGCACCTGGCCACCTAATCCCGTAGCTTTTTCTTAGAGTCCTCAGTCCCACCTGTCTGTACCATGTGATGCTGTTGGCCATCCCATTCTTCCTAAAATCCTCAAGACCCTTGGCTCTGTGGTCTTTGCGCACAATCTCTGCCCAACCCCCACTTGCCCTTGAACTTCTGGATGCGTCTGATCACTCATCGTCCTACCTGGAATCTCCGTGTGGTTGTCTCAAAGGCAAACAAGCTCCAGCAGAGCAGTGATGTGCCCTCCACCCCAAACAGGTTCCTCATTAATGTCCCCGTGAAAGGCACCACCATCAGCCCACTCTGCAGCCACCGCCCTGTCCCTGACGCCACAAAGCCAGTGCATCACAGACCACACGGCGTGTATCTCCTAAAGACATCTCAAGTTAATCCGCCTCTCTCTCCCACATCTTTTACACTCCTTGAGCGCTGGAACTGTCTGCTTTTATTCCTTACTATAACCCCGGTGCTTGGCACAGTGCCTGGCACGTCATAATCGAATGAGTGGATAGTAAGCAGACATTTTTACAAATGCTAAAACCGAGGCTCAGAGAAGTGATTCACCCAAAGTCTCCCCATTAGTACAACCAGGACTCACCCCCAGGGTGGCTTCAGTTCTCCCCTCTGTTCTCAGCACCTGAGTTAGGTGTGCTCTTGGGCTGCTGGCCTGAGGCCCACGGCCTTACCTGAGAGCACCGTGAAGACGGCCGCGAAGGCGTTGAGCTTGAGCCCGTCGATGACGTTGCTGGAGTGGAAGAGCTCGAGACACATGAGGCTGAAGCCGACCACCAGCAGGAGGATATACAGCACCTCGGAGACCACCGACAGCCACAGGACCCCTGTCCAACAGACGCAGAGAGGCCATGAAACGAGGGGCCCACCCCGCAGACTCTCCCTGCGTCCACTCCACCCCACGCGAGCCCCAACCCGTCCGCAGACACTGGCTCAGCGACCCAAGCCTCAGTCAGTCAGAGCATGGCATTCTCAGGGTGGATGTTATTGGGGAAAAACCTTCATCCTGTAGCGGGACGAGACGCTCCCTTCCTCTCCCTCACCTGTCAGATGATGCTACTGGGACCCATTTTAGGGCCATCAGGCACCAGTTTAGGATGGAGCTGATACTCTTGTCACTGAGTGGAGAGACGGAAAGATGACATCCCCGGGCCACTCACCAGCCCCGAGGGCTACCCTATTCTGGACTTTTCCTGTGAGACATATTGCCCTATCGTTAAGTCAGTCAGTGCGATGTTCTCTGTCACCAGCAGCTGTAAGTATCCAAAGTCATACACACACATCAGGCTTGCCCTCAAGGGACACCTGCACTTTTATCTGCCCTGTACCCTACTCCACTTTTTCTAGAAACCACCACTGTTACTCCAACAGCTTCAACCACGTGGCTCTCCTGGGAGCTGCCATGTTGTGGTGTGATCCCGCCCTCTTGGGTACAGATGATTGGTCCAATATGATCATCTGACCTAGTATTGGCCAATCAAAGCCCTTCTCTAGGAATCTGTGTGTAGAACCACAGAAGTGGACCAGGAGGGAGAAAGAAGCCCAGATGAGAGCCCAAGGACTGTGACCACGTGAACAAGGCCCACACTTTAAAGAGGGGACTATGGATCGGGCCTGGCCAGTCGGAGCTGGACCTATGACCCAAGTCCCTTCAAGGAGAGTTGGACACGGGACTTTTGCAGGGAACTATTAGGAAAGAGAAGCCCTTTCTTTCTACCAGGTTTGAGGTTGGAAGGATGGAACTTACTAAACCACCAGGTGGCAAAAGCCTTCCTGAGAGTGAAGCCAATGCCGAGGCAGGCAGAGCCAAGGGACAAAGGAACACTGTGTCCTGATGACATTGTTCAAGCGCCCAGATCCCGCTATGCCTGAAGGTACCAGTCCTTTCTTCTTTCAATCTTGCGAACCAACTAATTGCTGTCTACGCCTAAGCCAGTCCGAGATAGAATTTCTATCACTTACAACCAAGAGCCCTCCTCTTCAGCTTTTCTGTTCTCCAAAGTCATCGAACATGTCCTTTCCTACTTCTCTCTCTGCCTTTGCACAAGTTGTTCCTTCTACCTGGAATGTCCCGGGGACATTCGATAAATACTATTTATCAAATGAAACAAACAAACAGCCAGTTCTGAGTCCCTATCTGCTCCCTGATGAAGAACCCAAATTCTGAAACACCCACTATCCTTGCTAGCACAACAGGGCTTTTAGAGTTTTGGAGAACTTTTCTTTTTCTCTTTCCTCCTTTTTTTTTTTTTTAATGCTACAAAAATATCACATCTCCTGAGCAATTCCCTGAATTTCTGCAAGAGAATAATGTACTCTTGGCAGCCTGGATGTTGTTGAAACACCCCCTGGCACTGCACACGCACAGCGTCTGAGGCCCTTGGCTGGCCCAAGGCCCACCCGGCAGCAGGGTGGAAGGCAGGAAATTCAGAGAGCGCTGAGCCCTGCCAGGAGGGTGGCTGCCCCCAGGAGGTTGTGTCCCCAACTCCAAGCCTTCACTTCAGAGCTGCTGCTGCTTCTCTCGCTGCGTTTCCAGAGCCCTCGTCACAGTGCGGCTCACTGACTCAGCTCCTACCCTCGCACGGCCCCCGTGCCCCAGGGGGTGAGCTCATCCCTGCCCACATGGGCCCGGGGCCAGGCCTCCCCCTCCCAACCCCCTCACAGCAGGGCCAGCTCTGCTGTTTCAGACATGATGGGAGATGGGCTGGGCCGTGGGGGCTGGATGCTGCGGAAATAAGTTAACCGTGGAGAAACCATGCACTGCTGCTCGGACGCCGGGCTGGGGTTGTGCTAGAGATCCAGGTTTGTTTCCTTGTCTTCTCACGGGGCTTGGGAGGATCTGTCTGAAAGTTTCAGCCCGCCCAAGCCATGGAAATGCACAATAATAACAATAATAATAATCGTTGCTGTTGTAGCAACACCAGTCAAAATAAGGGCCAAAAGTTATGAGGTCCTTATTACGTGCCAAGTCAAAAGGGACAATGCTGGTGTCCCACCCAATCACCTTGACTTTCCTTTGAGAGTTTCTGTCTTTGGGAGACTGTCTATGGGCAACTGGAGCCCATTCTGTCCATCTTTGTTTGGAAAGTGACTGGGAACTTACATTTCCCTTTCGGCACTGCTGTCACCAAGGGGCTGACCAGCAGGGTCCTGTCCTTTGGCTTTGGCTGGGACGACTCTGAGATGTGTCCCATACTGCAAAGCCCCCATGGGGTCATTCCGGCCTGACATCATCCCCTCACTTTCCCTTCTCCCTTCCCTGTCCTGCGACCCCCTTCCCTTACCAGCCTCCGCAGGGAACATTTCCTTTGCAAATGACTTTGCTATGAGTCCTCATCTCAGGGTCTGCCTCTAGAGAATCTGACCTCAGACTCAAGTATTCACAGGAATTATATCCCCAAATCCTCCTAACAACCCTGCAAGGTAGCAATGCATCACCCATTTTACAGATGAGAAAACTTAGGTTCCTTAGAGATTAAGCAACCGCTCTATGCAGCTAGGTCATGCACAGTCTGGATTCAAATTCGGGCCTCTCTGGCTACAGGAACCATGATGGGTAGTGTTAAATTAAGTGAAAGCTGCCTCCTTACGTATTTGAAGTTCAGCCTAAAGGTTTCTCTGTGCACAGTGAGCCGTAACCTAACTGGATGTGCCATCTACTCTCGTACCAATCACAGGGTTTCAGCCAATCACAAGCAGCCAGCTGTTCAAACCATGTTCAAGTAAGGCAAACGCCCAGCTGTGACCAATCCAGCTGTTTCTGGACCTGACTTCTGTTTTCTGTCGGTCACTTTCTTTTTTCTATTATAGATGTAATCTGGCCATGTGGCAGCCCCAGAGTCGCTCTGAACTCTGGCTCTGGTTGTGGGAGCTGCCTGATTAGCCAATTATTTTTTGTTCAATTAAACTCTGTTAAATTTAATTTGTCTAAAGTTTTTCTTTTAACAGTAGGGAGGTTGCAATCGGGAAAGAGTGGCCACTTTGAGATCAAATTCTCCCACTCTTGGCCCCGGCCAGGGCTCTCACTCAAGATCTTCTCCAGCACCCCAAGCAATTCCTGAGCCAGGATTCCAGAAAGAGGGTGGCCACTGAGTGGGATGGAGGGGGCCTTGGGTTCCCAGAGATCCTGAGTCTAGCCGTCCTCCAGGCAGTGTGATGCAGAAGGAGGCTACAGGGTAGGGAAGACGGTCTTGACGACTCTGAGAAGCCAGGCTGGGGAAGCTGGTGCGACTCATGCTCAGAGGCAAGTGAAGGTCCATGCAAGAGTGGCACCGTGATCCCGGCCTGGCCACCTAAGCAGAGAGTGATATTCTTTGCTGAGCATGGGAAGACACCAAGGCAGGAGGATGATGACATGCAGAGTCTACAGTAGCTGCAGGACGTCCCGCTGGGATGTTCAGGAGGCAGCTGGAGCTCAGATAGACAGGGAGCATTGGCAAGGCCTAGGCACTTACTAAGTATTTGCTGCAATTGTCAAATAGATGGCAGTTGGAGCTGATAGGATGCTTCTGAAAGCATGTGGGGCAAAAGAGAACAGGGTGGAACCCAAGGGGACATCAATACTTAAGAGGAGGGGCAGGAGCAGAGGGCTGTGAGGTGCAGCAGGCACGGTGGGTGCCCCCAGCCAGCATCTGCATCTCTCTGCCTGGGGGCTCGCCCTGGCCACCAGAGCCCACTCTGCCCACCTCGGAGGCAGGCTGGACACACTGGGGCATGAAGGCCACCCTGCCCCCACCCCAGCAGCAGCCCTCCCACATGCCCCGTGAAGGAGGTGGGATCTACACATTCGTGTTTGCCACCAGTGGAGAGGTGATTTAAGGTGGTGTTGAGTCACGACATTAAGCTGTCTGGGCCAAAGAGTGAAAATGCTATTCAATTTCTCATTATTTTTAAAATTCTTATTACCTCAATCAAAAGAGTCTCTGTGTGGTGCTAATATGTCCTTAACACCTTTCTAACACTTGTCAATTTTTCAAAACAAAGAGAAGGCCAGGCCCCAGGCTTAGAATCTTCCGCAATTCCCAGCCAAATTCGAGTAACCTTTTGACAGTGACCTTGGGTGCTGGTTCTTCTCCACGGCCTGGTGCTCCTCCTCTCCCCAGACCAGGAGTCTGGCCCCTTGGAACTGTCACCCAGGCCTCCAGCCCTGCCACTGGGTTCAGCCAATGGGAGGACCGGCTGGAGATGGGCAGGGGTGCGGGAGGAAGTCGGTATTTCTTCCCTGCTCCTTCCCTGTGTCAGCCACATCTGTGCGTGGCCTCGTCCTCCCGCCCGGGGCTACTGCTCCCTGTTTGTCCTCTAGAACACTGTACCTGTGCTTCTCCCCTTCCAGCCCAAGGGCAGTAACAGCTCCCCACTGCTGCTAGCCTTGGGGGGGGTCTCAGGTTCTCTTAACCCTTCCCACGCCTCTATAAGGAGTTCTTTCACTGAAGTGTCTTCACCTGAACCGTCTAGAGAATTTGTGCCCTGCAGGGACCCTCAGTGACACACCAGTTTTTTATGGCCAAGAATCCTGGTTTCCACTTAAAGTAGTGATCTAAGCCGGTGGGTCCCAGCGCGGTTCCCGCAGCAGCATCGGCATCAGCTGTGAGCCTGGGGTGCACATTCTCCAGCCCCAGCCCCAGCCCCAGCCCCAGCCTGCTGAATCAGAAACTCTGAGAGTGGGACCCACTCTATGTTTTAATGGGCCCTCCAGGTGACGTCGATACACGCTTACATTTGAGAACCAGTGATCTAAAGTCCCGTTTTAAACATACATGTAAAAAATGAGTCGTCTTAAGGAAAAACTGAGTCAACGCTAAGGTGGTAGGTGTTGGCATCTGGCAGACGGGAGGTGACGTGGGCATAAGGGCAGAATTGGGAATCGTTGCAGAGCGCCGGGCCTGCAGTGCACGCTCACTCTTGTTACGGATGCTACGGATGCACGCGTGCGAGAAAGGAAGGCAGAAATGATGGCCTCCGGGCAGGCAGCCGGGCCTTGCCTTGGTGACACAGGGGAAGGGCTCATCAGCGGTGGAGATGATTGTCCCAAGTCTCTGAAACTTTCGCTAATGGCTCAATTTGCAGCGGAGAACAGGTGACCTCTGGGGAACAGAAGAAATGAAATGATTTCTCATCAGGTTTGGGGCTGTGGGGTGACAGCTAATCCTGTTAGCTACACTTTTTGCCTTTTTAAAAAACAGCTTCGTGACACCCACTCTGACCCTTCATTGATGGAATTGATGGGTTTGCGAGAATGATTTCCCTCTCACCTGGATCCGTCCCTTGCAGAGGGAGTTTCCAGGGCCGGCTCCTTGGCCAAGTGGGAAAACATGGGTAGGAACCGTGTCTTGTGTGACCTTGAGTGGCAGCCTGACCTCTCTGTCCCTGGGGTCCTCATTCCTAAAATGGGCATAACAGATTAGTTGTGAGCATTAAATGAGACCAATGTGTGTAAATCACACAAGCCTGGCCCTTGGAAAATGTTGGAGAAAGTTAAGCATCACTATTACTTGCTGATAAGCATCCTTATTAGCCATTATAATAATTATACAAGGCAGTAAAGCCCACAGGTGAACGAAGATCGTGAACCTGGGCCAGCCCACCCGGTTGACTCCTATTTCTGCCAATGACGAGCTAAGAGACCAGGCAAATGATATGTCCCCAGTAAACCTCAGTTTTCTCACCTGTAAATTGGGCATAAATGTAGTACCCAGTTCACGGACTGCTGTAAGGATTAAGTGAATTAACTGACGGGTGTTTAGGGCGGTGCCCGGCCCATCGAAAGCGTCAGCGTCGTGTGAGCTGTTACTGTTGTTGTTTTTTCCTAATGTGATGTAGGAGGATTAGGAAGCCTGGAGCAAATGTCTATCAGCCAGCGGACAAATAAAACCTTTACGAGGATCAGAGGGAAATTGTTGCAAAGTCATATGAAATCCCAAGATGCAACGGCATTTCAAGAGAAAACATTTTTTTGCCCTCAAAAAAAACCATCGATTTAATACATCAAATCAATAAGGCACAGTGCAGTGGCCGCTGGCTGCGAGACGGGTGACAGGCCTCCTGATACTGAGCATGTTAAATCATGTAAATGACGTGGGCCCGGACCTCTGGGGCTGAGAACGGCTCAGTGACAGCTGCTGTTTGCGAAATGTCAATACCAGAAGTTCGGCGGCAGGGATGCTCCGGGGCTGGAAGGAAAAGGCCAGAGGGACTTCGGGTTCACGGAGCCCCCGTCCCTCGCTCTGCACATGAGAAATCTCAGGCCCAGAGAGAAGCGAGGACGTGCCCCTGTCACAGAGCCAGTCGGGGGCAAAGCGGGGTGGGAGGCAGGCACTCTTCCACCGCCCGGACTGGCTCCGTCGGAGGGACAGGGGCTGGGATTCGGGGGAAGGGCTGCCTGGAAGAGGGAATGTAGCCAGACGAGCACATCCCCAGGGTGGCTCCACCAGGTGTCAGCAGCCTGGACTCAAACTCTGACGCCGCAGACCTCTGGAAGGTCCCTTTGCTGCCATGAGCCTCAGTTTCCCTCTCGGCAAAGTGAGTGGATTCTCAAAC